GCAGACACCTGAGTCCTATTTAGTTCAAATTGGAAATACATTCTGAGAAGCCAGACCTGTTTTGGTGACCTTGGGGGTCACTGGTTCAGCCAGATATTGACGGTCTGGGAGAGCTGGGAAGAAGGACCCAACAATGAAAGGTTTGAGCCTGGGTGTGATGGAGGCTCTGGGTTTGACCTTGTAGTTACATTGCCAGGGGCTGCCCTTCCCTGTTCCCCTGAACCCTCTGTCCTGCCCAGGATAGCGAAGTCAGGTCCCTTATGGCTCAGTCTTGGATTCTGGAGTCATCTGTACCCAGTAGGCCCACACTGGAAGTTTTTTTTTTTTAAACCTGCCATTTTGTGTCTTCCTTTTGGTCCATACACAAAGTAAGTGGATTTCTTGATTTTCCATGTTGGTGTGTTGATAGCAAACAACATCTGCCTCAGTTTAACCAAGGAGAGGGATACAGGGAGTGGGAACAGGCTCACTGTGGAAGCCAGCCTCTAGAAACTAGTGGAGAAGAGGCTTTCTTCCCCCCGACTATGCCAGCCACAATAGGCTAGCTTTCGAGAGGTCTCAGCTCTTTCCATTAACTCTGTTTGGGGGCATTTAAAAGGCAGCAAGGTGTGTTAACACATGGACCTGTAATCCCAGCACTTGAGAGACTGAGGTAGAAGGGTCCTGAGTGAAAGGTCTGATGGGGATGGAGACAGTGTCCCAAAAATCAACGTTAAAAGATATAAATAATGGGCTGCTGAGGTGGCTGGGAGGAAAAGGTACTTGCTACCCAAGCTTTGCAACCTGAGCTTGAAACCCACAAAAAAAGAAGGAACAGATGCCACAAAGATGTCCTCTGACTGCCATATGCATGCCACCCCACACCCTCCATGGGTTATGCACACACATAGAGGAATACTGAAATTTAAAGTACAATTCAAAAGGTATAAATGACACTCTTGACTCATTGTTCTGGGGAATGAATGAGTCCTTGACTTTTGCTAATTTTACTATAGTGCAGATTCGGCAAAATGATCTTCCCTGATATAACTGATAAAACCACAGTAGCCACGCCAGCAAGAGGAGCAGGGGGAAGTGAGTTTTACAGCAATGGGGCACTGACTGGACCTTCAGGGAGACTTTCCTTCCGGCACTGTCTAGGGAGGCCAAGGCACACTTTCCCATGTGATGGTGCCCAATCACCCGCCACCACGACCCTCTGAAGACCAAGTACCAGGCCTGGCCCTCTCTTCCTCAAGCTCTGAGCCATCAGGAGCACCTCCTTGGCCATCTCTTGTGTGAGCTGGGTGATTCTGTTCTCACTGTGTGCACTGCCATGGTCTGGAACAGTCTGGTCCATCTGAGCAGGAGGCAGAGAGGGGCTGCCACTCTGGCGCTGAAAAAGGAGACATCCGGTTAGAGGTTTAGACCAAGAGTTCCTGACATTCGGGCCTCTCAACTGCAGTGAGGCTGTTAATTGCCTGTGTGCGTGCGTGCGCGCGCGCGCGCGCGCGCGCGTGTGTGTGTGTGTGTGTGTGTGTGTGTGTTCATACACATACAGAGGCAAGTGTTCCTCGGGAGCTGTCTGCTTTGGTCTTTGAGACAGAATTGGGCTGGAGCCTCCTGGTCAGGCTATGCTAGCTGACCAAGGATTTGCCCATGTCTGCCTCCCCTGGGCTGGGAATAGAGTTTAAATCCTCATGCTTCTGCAGTGTCTTTCGAGTTTCGATTTCTGTGAAGACCACAGCAGCTCTTTAGAAAGGACAACATTTAATGGGGTGGCTCATGGTTTCAGAGGTCTAGTCCATTATCATGATGGTGGGGAGCATGGCAGCCGGGGAATGGCGGCGTGCAGGCAGATATGGCGCTGGAGAGGTAGCTGAGAGTTCTACATCTTGTGCAGGCCACAGGAAATGGTCTGAGACATTGGGTGTGGCTTGAGCATGTAGGAGACCTCAAAACTCACCTCCACAGTGACACACTTCCTCCAACAAGGCCACACCTCATAATAGTGCCACTCCCTCTGGGGGCCATTTTCTTTCACACTACCACGTGCAGTAAGTGCTCTATCCACTGAGCCTTCCCATCATCCCCTTAACTGCCTTTAAATCATTTTAAAAGAAGGCACAAAGGAATCAGGTGCATTTTCTGAGTCCTCGGAGCCCTTGGCAATCTTCCAAATGTAGGGAAACAGCAAGGAGAGATATGATTCCCTATGAGTTTGTGCTCCGTGTATCCGGAATTTGCAGAGACTGAAACGTGGCATCCTTGAATCTCAATCTGGGCAAACGAGTGCATTTCCTTTCTGTGAGTGCTCAGGCTTTACAAGGGAGAGGAAAGAACATGCAGCCTCTTGAAGGGGACTTAGATAAAGTGTTAGGTTGCTGACAGCCCGGGGAGAAATGAATCTGTGCCCCCTTCAACCTTGGCCAGGGAAGCCGCCCCCTGCAGTTACAGCAGAGACTCCCATCTGGTCAAGGTGCTGAGAGTTAAGTGACAACTGAGTGTTCAGCACTAACAGACATCGGTACTAAGACTCCACCAAGGCCTAGGGAACATTAGGAAGAGGCGGCAGAAAGAATACGAGAGCTGAAGGGTGGGGATCTAGACAATGCTGTCTTCTGGACAGGGCCATTGCACTCACAGACTCACTGTAGCTATGGTTATCGGGACAAACTCAAGCCAACACGAACTGTTAACATTTCAGCAGGCAGCATGATTGGACTCAGTTTTGTGTGTTTGCTTGGTTTCTGGTTTTTGGCTTGTTTGTTTTTCTTTAATTTTTTTTTTTTGTTTAATATGCCTGTATATAATCTGCGTTGAGTGTGTCAGATGCCCTGGAACTGAAGTTACAGACAGTTGGGGACTGCCATGTCGGTACTGAAAGTTGAACCCAGGTCCTCTGGAAGGACAACCAGTGCTCTTAACTGCTGAGCCATCTCTCCACCCCCTGGTTTTTGTTTTTTGTTAGCAGGGGTTGAAGAGACGGCTCAGCAGTTAAACTTCACTGGTCATTCTTCCAGAGGACCCAGGTTCAAACCCTAGCACCCATTTGGTAGTTTACGACCATCTGTAATTTCAGTTCCAGGGGATCTGATGCCCTTTTCTGGCCCTAGGGTGCGGCATGTATGTGGTGCACAGAAGTACAGATAGACAAAACCCTCATACACATAAAATAAAAACAGGAATCTGGACATGGTGGTGTACACCTTCAATCCCAGCACTTGGGAGCTGAGACAAGCTGAGTTAAAAGCCAACCTGGGCTACAGAGAGTTCTAGTCTGGGCAGGATTACACAGTAAGATCTTGTCTCAATAAGGGGGTGGGGCAGGGAGGAGGCATGAAGTGGGAGAGGGACCGGGACCTGGGGGGTGAGTAAGAGGTAATGTTTGGGAATGGATATGATACATTATTTACATGTGTAAAATTGTCAAAGAATAAATAAAAGATAGTTCATTAAAAAAAAAAAAGGAAATTCAGGAATCCTTGAATGTTTCAACCTGAACACACTCACACACATCCTTCTATACCAAATTTGAACAGACTCACATCATCCTTCTATACCAAAGGCTGTAGTGGGTAGCCATTCCAGCTTTGATCTGGAAGTTTCAACCCCCATTGAGGCTTCTGTAACTGTCACGCCTACAAGGTGGAGCCAAGGGAGGACCTGAAGCACCGGCTTTCTTGGTTCCTGGATGCTGGACACTGGAGGTAGACCGAGGAGAGTTCTCCAGGGAACACCACCGGACTGTGCTATACCTTTCTCAGACCTTGTTACCTATCCCTTCACTTGTAAGTTACCCCACAAAACAAACCTCTCTTTTAACTACGTGGAGTGGCCTTAATAATTTCACCAATATCTGGCACCCAACATGGG